CGGGATAATACAGATATTGTTATTATTATTATCATTATCATTATCGGCAACACTACGCTATCCACGACGAGCCCCGAGAATTTATGCGAGAAATCCGCAGATGACTGTAGCGATAACTCGACGATTTTTGTGTGTACAAACCGAGGTTGTGTTCTCACAGAATCGTAATTATAACCACCGCCGCTTTGATTGCGTTTTATCGCGCTTAACAGGCGAAATTCATAACAGTCTAATCGTTTTCATAACACAATACAGTCCAAAAACAACTTGGATAATATATTGTTATCAACAATAACTCTGCCGTTGGTCGCCGCCATTATTATGCGAATAATCGCCGGTAAGTGCGCCGGCGAAAGTTTTAAAATTAAAACGCCTATATTGTGCCGATATTGCTTATTCTACTTATACTTGTAAAAAGTTCATAAAATATAATATATACTACCCATTACAACACAACAGTTTGGCTTCTATGCGATGCGGAAAGCGAGAACCAACCACTTGTGCCTGGCATTTGTGAAAATGTCGATTTTCCCAAATTGAGTTGCTGCTTTTTTGTTTTAAACTCGATTGTCTTTTCACCAATTCGAGACGCTTATAACTAAACAAAGGTATTGCACTTAATTTCGGCTATTATTCGATTCGGTTCCGTGTTTTGATATTTATCTTATTATATTATATGTAGATTAGATCAGTGGGATCACAACTACCATTTAAATTTCAAAAGATGATAGAATTATGAAAAATACTTTAACCGGTAAATATTTATTAATTTTGTAATATTGTAAAAAGATAAAAACAAATATTTGTTCAGTAAGAAAAACTACAAAATTGCAATTACTTTAAGAGGTAAAGTATAGAGTGGCTTACGCTGAGCACTTTAAAACGGGCAATGTCTTGCATCCCCTTACAACTCTCAGCGTCCAGATTTCAAATGCAACTTTCAATCGAATAAAGTGATGGTTTATAAATAATGATTGAATGATTTTCATGATTGTGTTGCAAATAATGCTATTGTAAAGTTCCACTTAGAAGTTAGATTTCTAGAGTAAAAATAAATACAAATATTATATAGTGACACGGTGTAGTCAAATTGAATCATGACATCGTGACAACACTATTGTAATAATAATGTGCTTGAATTGTATTTTTAGTATTAGGGTGGATAAGATCTGGTCGTCTGTCCATAATAATTTATTGTTGCCGTTGTTTCTCCAATTTTTGTAATTAATAACACGATGAAACTACTGTTGATTCCCTTCATATAACAACCTAGAAAATTATTACTGATAAAGTGTATCCTTTTCACTAATAAAAAAAAAGTTTGACAAATAAATTATTTAAATTGAAAAATATGCAAAGTTTTTGTGCGTTTTTTTCGATTTTAAAGGTGAACAGGTGAAATTTTTACATTTTTGGTACAATAAATACTTTTCAGTTTTCATGTATGATTTCTGGTCTAGGTGTAGTCTCGAAAAAAAAAAATACCTTCTCATCGAAGCTAATAGTATTCATTTTTTCATTTGTTTGTTTATATTGAAAAATAAAAATATATTTTTTGTTTATCACATTTATACTTCGCACCTCCCCCTAACTATAAGTAATAATACACGCCATTAATGTATGATTATATTTTCTCTCTTGACGTCCCTAAACTCACTTGCACAGACAAAAGGGACTTGGTAAAATATTCCTGCATTCCCAAGCGTGTCGTAAACTGACACCTTTTCCGAGCCTATCCTCAGTGCTTTCTCGCTTATCTTACCATTTTCACTGTCAACGTTATGTCACACGAGCAAACGTACCTCGCAGTTACATAAACAGTGTTGTTAGATTTTACGACAATGGGCTGGTACATGGTTTTTACAAACTTTCACTTTAGCCAGATAACATCACCGCAGAGCTGTTATCTTCTATTACTTTCATATTATATCACCATCGATAGCTTTATGTGGGAATCCACAAAGGTACTTGGCCCACATTGGAGCATAGAGTTTATCTAGGGGTTTCGTTTACTTGCGGACTTTATTTAGAACAAAATGATATAAATAAGATGTCATTGTTTTTTTAAACTGTTATAAATTCTCCAATGATGAGCATATTATTTAAAGAAACACTAATACCATATTGGTTTATACGCTTTGGTCCACTCATTTGATCAACGAGAGATTAAACATCATGTTTTATTACTTAAACAAATTGAATGGGCAGACTGTTGGACAGTCATTTGCTGATGAGATTTTTGTAAGAATACCCTGACAGATTTATTATGATAAAGATTGGATTGCGTTGGCACGGCTATAGCGGAGAAAATGATCAGACTACGGGACGGATGTGGCACTACAAACGGATGTAGGATATCTCTTTGTAACAATTGAATTTTCTCACTCGCACCACCAGTCGGGGTCGTTCCCATGGCTTTACTTTGTATTTTTTTTTTATAACAAATATAATATATTTTTTATCAATACATTTTTCCAAACACCATTTTTAATCAACATTAAAGTAGGTAGCTGAGAATAAAAGCCTAAAATATGCGACAACAGCAAGCAACGGATAAAGCACCCCGATATGAAATCGATAAATCAGGCGTTTAAAGAATATCAAATTAGTATTAAGGAGAATATAAATCTTGGACTGAAACACTATAGCCCCCAATGAAGATGTTGATACAGCATGGAAGAATTCAAGGGAACGATACAGTGTACGTAGCAACAATAACCGAAGGAGAACAATAGTAAAGCTTTGGTTCAATATTATATGTGAGGAGCAGTATTGTGCAGAAAACTAGTGGAACAAGAGCGTTTAAAGATATTAATGATGAAGAACAATTTACAAGACTCGATACCACGTTAAAAGGAAGTCCATAATATTATTTAGATGTGAAAAGAGAAAATAATATATTAAGAACATAGTGGCAAACACAGAGAAACAAAACGAAATCGTAGAACTAGGAATTTATTTTAACACAAGTCTAGCCGATTTTAATAGGAAAGAAAGATTCCTTAAGAACGACGATGGAACTTTAATAACAAGTGATGAAGAGTTGCCGAAAAGATTACACTAGACTTCATGAAAGCGACTTCAAAATATGATTCTACATATGTCGTACTGGGATGAAACCCGGTGGGACAGAACCAGCTTGGAAGATCAAGACTAAGACGAGGGAGGTAGTTAGAAAGGGCGTAGAAGCACTAGCAGGAGGTCTAAATTGGAAAGTACGAGCAACAGATAGAGAAGGACGGTAAAGGGGATTTGAGATGGGATGGTCCTAGTGGCCTTAACCCAAATAAGAAGATAATAATATAGATTATTGCTGCATCGTGAAAGCACGAAACACACTCGTTTAAGAAAAAACAAAAAAAGTTCAAATAACGTTTCTGCAAAGCCTAACGACGAAACTGATCATTCATCTGGTGGACATTTTAAACGCGATCTAATGATATTAAACGGTAGTCAATTTTCTACCATAAAGGCTGTATACTGCGGTGAGTAGAGGGATCATTATATATATATATATATATATATGTTATTATACATAACATAAAAAGCAGTCAGTGAAAATAAATACCTCACGGGTCTAAAAGTTTCTAAAAAAAAAAAAAAAGTTCTGGATCGAGTACATTGGATTTTTTTTTCAAAGAAATCGGTTTGTTTACTCGACCTTTTTTTTATTTTATTTTTTACATTTAGACCGTTCTGCCGCAACTTTTTCAATTTCAAACTAAACCATTTCGCTTGTCCCGCCCTTCCTCGCCCACGTTAGTTGCTCACCACTCCGTCGGTTCACGTCTGTCACGGTTCGCCACTCATCGTAGTTTGAAGAGTTTAACGCAATCTGTTAAACGCGGTAATCAGGCCTACACGAGTTTATAAATAAGACTATAGTGTGACGTCAAACTCTACATCATATATACGATATGGGTGTGTCTTTTTTTTTTTTTACTGCAATTACACATTAGATTTGAAATTCTACAATTATAAAATATATAAACAAAAATATTTAACAGTCATATCTTTATTAAAACGGAAACCTTATAAATGCCAATCGATTATTGATATTCGTGATTTGAGGTACATTTTATGTTTCTTTCGTTAGTACTTTTTGTCAGAAATATTTTTAAACAAAAATCTTTTTTACCGGTACTCTATTCATCGCAATCTTAGCATACTTAGTTTTTTTTCTTTATACTTAAAAATTAAAACTTAAAGGCTCCGAACGTGGTTATATTTACTATGATGAGCTTTATAAACCGGATAACTACACCTTCTTATGGATTACATGGGTGTCATAATTGCATATTTTCGAAAGATTCAGTTATGCATTGCAATGGAGACTTAATAGCTAGATAGAGAGATTCATAGTTTTGCGGTTAGAGAACATTGAAGTTAGTCAATACATGCCACGATATAGCATTGTGCATTTCCAAATCATTATTGATAACATTTTTAAAAGTCCACTTACAACATCTGTGCACCCCATCACTCATTCTAACCAGGTATCAGGTTGCACCGGGTGCGTGCATAGGATTCGAGTACGAAAACTAGGATTGAAATATAGCAAGCAGTCAAAACAGGTGCAAAGCATTTGAAGGGTCCTGTGCGGGAACCAAATATCTCCATGTTTTGTAATTGTTCAAGTCGGCCAAAAGAAAATCTATTGTCTCATTCACCACTATTGGCGGGATAAAATAGGTTTTGTAATATCTTTGTAGGCAATAGTCCAATTTTACTGTTTGAGGCACTATATAATATGCACTAAAATATAAATAATTTTTCTATGAAAATACAAATTTTGATGAAAAGTGGAGATAGCCGGTTCTTGCACCGGACATTTCATTTGGATTTTTGGATAAACGGTTTTTGTATTTTCCCTATTTGGTTTTTGGGCCCTAGGTTCTCCTTTGTTTGGTCCAGGTTTACCGGTTAAGTTTTGCGTACTCTCTTATGCGTTTTGATTCCTTGACAACAACAAAAATAACAAAAAATAAAAAACTACCAACCTTATTGGCCGTCTTGTGAGCGTAGAGTATGTCGTATACGGCGCACACGGCCAGCACGGTGAGTCCGGTTTCTTTGGCCAGCATCGAAGCGGCCGCCATGACGACAGTGGCCAGCAGACAGGCCCATTGCCGGACGGCGCAACACTCGGTCACGGCGCCGGGCAGCCCGTCCAAATCGCTGGAGCACGTGCCCAGGCCCAGCGCGGCGAACACGGTACGCACCGCCGAGCCCAGCCGGTACGTCTTGCGGTGACAACCGGCGCCGCAGCACACCCGCCCGCGGTCGGATGTCCGGTGGTCCCGGTGTTGGACGTGCGCCACGTAACACAGGAACGCGACCAGGTAGAACAGAGACGCCAACAGGTCGGCTCGTCCCACCACGCCGGCCACGGCCTCCGCGTGTACCGGATGCACGGCGAACAACGCCGCGGCCGCCACGGATCCTCGCCGTCCCGGCAACAGCGTCCGGCACAGTACGTACACCAGGTACGTTACCGCGCAGTGGAGCAGCACGTTGGCCGCGTGGTAGCCCTTGGGGTCCAAGCCGCCGGCCCAGTGGTTCAGCCGAAACGACACCACGCACAGTGGCCGGTACGAACCGTGAGAGTTGGTCGAACCGATCGGAGTGCCCCAAAAGTCGTTCGTCCAGATGTCACCGAGCGGCGTGCCGCGGGTCACGTCCGGATTGTTGATAATTGCTCGACTGTAAAAAAAAAAAAAAAATTTTGGTCAAACTTAACTCATGTGGTGAAAGAGTTTTGGTAACAATCGTAGATACTACTGATAGGTACCATACCGACTACAGACATTCGGTATACGCGAGGAGTCCTACTGGCTCCCTTATGCAGGCAAGATAACATTACCGCATTACCACCATTGCCTTCCCAGCTAACCGGTGGTACTATTCGGGCAATTCGAATTTGACACGAAGAAATGTTTGATATTGAGGCAGGCACAAGAGTCTACCTGAACTGAGAAATCCTTCTAACTGTGATTCAAACTTATAGAAAAAAAAAAGAGGTGAAAATTCTTAGAAAAGTCGAAAAAACGACAATAGTAATCGAAATAAATATGACTTATGTGTAAAATTAAGATAATTTCCCCTCTTTTCGACTTTTCTAGGAATTTTTACATCTTTTTTTGTTTTTCTAAACGTTTTTACGAAGATCCCAGTTTGAAATTTACATATTTTATGTACAATTTTCTTGGCTTTAGAAAAGTTCTCAAATTTTGGGCAACACGAAAAAACAACTTTTTAGATTATAAACTCAATTTGAATAACTATTTGTTCGAAAAAAAATTATATTTTTTTCGAAAACTCTCAGCTTATTTATTTATTTTAGTTTTATTAAAATACAAAATTTGAGAACATTCTTTTCATCGAAACAGACATGCAGGGTAAGTTTAAAAAAGCTCCGTGAGGGGAGGGGGGATGGTGCTCCAAACGTTCGTTCATATTTGGTGTTTTGACACATACGAGTATATTAGCTAATAGTATAGACCAATTCATTCACAATATAATCATTTAAAAACTTCATCGTCAAACAAAAGCTCATATTCGGTTGCTGTAAATTAACTTGGAAGGTTAATGACCGAGAAGCAGGCGGATGTTATTTTATATAAAACAAGCCCTCAACTTTAGTGGACGGTTCGAGCATAAAAATCTTGACGTTTTAATCACATAATAAAGTTTTAAACAAAAAAAAAACACCCGTATAGTCGGAGTCCTTTTATTTCATCAGCCTATTCAGTGAGTTTTTCAAGCCAGAAATGGTCTATTGCATTTTTAATCTCCGCCTAAGTGTCCGCCCTCTCGTTCGCGGAAAAGGATTAAAACCGTTTTACTGTCATTATCATAAGCTCAAAACTTCAGAGTTCAGCGACTGTCGGTTATGCAAAACCAATGGCAATCTGTGGCAATCGGTCAACTCATTGCGAAGGCAAATATTAATTGGATATCAAAAAGATGAGTGAACACAAACGGTTATGTCCGTTTGAATCGACTGTAAACATATTTAAAAGACTCAATGTCGTCAACCAAACTTTAAATTTGAAGTATATTTGGCGTAAACGGACATTACCGGTTATTTTTTTCAACGGCGCGGGTAAAGGTTAATGGAAACATTTATAAAATCCTGACAACTTGTGCTTTACACCGGAAAATTGTAACTTCTTTGCGATTAACTCGCTACCTATATAGACTTTGCTGGCGAATATAATACAGACTTACGCGATATTATTTCAAGTAACGAAAATAACGATTAAATAAAAAGTGCGCAAACTTTGCCATAGTTCGGAACAAACTTTTAACACAACATTCCGGCCCCGAATAGAAAAACCATTGGCACCGATCCAGTGCTCACGGGTCAAATCAACTTTATATACTTTTCCGGAGATACGGCGGTTCCGCTTTTCAAAACTACATTTTGCTCAGTGAAGTCTAAACACAAATAAAAAAATTAAAGGGTTTAAGTCGTCTAACAAAGACACCACTTACGGCCCGTTAAGATCACAGCTGTAGTAACGTGCATATGTGACTTTGTGTGTTATTCACAAATTCGCCAGTCACTGTGTGAAGGGCAAATGTATTTTTCTTTTCATTGCACACACATTACATAACATTTTGTCGTTTTCATTACGTGCAAAAAAAAAATATAAAATTTAAATGGGACTTTTTAATTAAACTCATTGTTTGAATTGTTAATTATTCGTAGTTAAGTAAATTTTGCACATAACTCAAACGAATAAATACCTTAAAATCGTCTTAATTGGAAGCTTTTCACAAGGCGGTGCTTTGGCTTTATATGCGGCACTCACTTATCACAAACCCTTAGCAGGAATCCTGATGTTGTCTTCTTGGTTACCACTTCATTTCAAATTCCCAGACATATGGTTGTATTTTTTTTCAATTATCATTTATTTAAGGGGATTCGATACCGACCATTTTTAAGGAGTTTTGCACAAGCAATATTTAAGAAAAAAGTGGCTTAAATAAAATTCGACCATGTCAATTAATTTACCGGTTAATTTGTATAAGCTTCATGGTAGTAGTCTATAAAATGTCTATATAATATTATTTTTAATTTAAATCACTTTGTCTATGAGTAAAGGCCATTTTAGTTAATATAACTATTGTACATTTTTTGTCCATCGCACAGGCCGAACCAGTGATCCGATTAGTAATCTGAAAACAGATTTTATTTTATTATGAAGTTTACTTGGGATCTTACAAAGTACTTTTTTGATATCTTTTTCTTACTATGAATAAAAAACGTTTGAACATTTCATAAAATTTAAAATTTTGAAATCAAATTTGTAAAGGGTTAAAATTCCAAATTGAAAAAAGTGCTTGTTAGGATCTCATGTTAACTTCATGACAAATTCAAATCTATTTTCAAATTACTTATCAGGTTACTGGTTCGGCCTGTGCAATGCACAACAAATGATGTGTTTTGACTAAAAAAAACGGCCGGTATCGAATCCCCTTAACTTCTTTTAATTATTCTGGATACATCATTTTGTACAGTAGGAATATTTTTTTTTATTCAGGCAGCAACGAACAATACAGATATACCGATTTTACAGTGTCATGGAACTAATGATTTAGTTGTAGATTTTGAGTATGGAAGGAGAACATCGGAAGTAATGAAATCGTTTGTTACCAAACTCGAATTTATCATTTATCAAGGTCTAAATCATTGCACAAATAAAGAGGTAAAACTAAAAACCCACAAATAATTTAACTAAATAAACAGGCACAATCAGTTGCATAATACTACGCAGGAAAATTTACCCACAAACTTGGAAATATAAGTATAAGAATGATAATATTTTATCGTCTCAACATCTTCCATGACTGGGACAAGTTTGTATATGAAACTGTTAGGAACTTAACGATCTTGTATGTTTATTTAGTCGTGTCTATAATATAGTAAATGTTTTTTTTAATACCACCACAATTGGAATTAGCAAGGCATTATTTCATTAAATTTTAGTTTTATAAACATGTACAATGTACATTCAAATTATTCCCGTTCAAATTGTTATTTTGTTTTTGCAGGAGTTGGACGACATAAAAACATTCATTAACAAAGTTTTTCTATTATGTGCTTGAATTCGAATGTCGTTTCTTCTCACAAGGAATTTGGTTAGCTATGTATAATTTATTTAGTTAAAAGATAAAAGATAGAAAATCTTAATACATCCATGAAACACCTGTATAATATTATTATGTACCTGTTTACAGTCAATATTGACTAACAGTAATGCCAAAAAAATATGCAAGCATTATATGAAAATGTAACAATTCATCTAAATTACATTAGATTACCTACTTGTCCAAACTATCACGGAAGGAAAATTAAGATACAATAGTACGTGTTTTTTTATCTTGTATAAATAGCCATTAACTGACCACTATTTATAATTTGTTTATATTATTTATTATTCATACATATAGTTTACATAGTTTTAAAGAAGCGAATGAGTAAACGCATGCACAAAATTATTTATAAAATATAAAATGTAATTGTGTTATTCAACAGCTTTAATTTAATCCTTGGAGAAATAACCGAAAATTTACATTAATTAAATAAATTCACATATCGTTAATGAATGCGTACTTGATAATTGTGTGAATTGCAATTGTTTACATTAGTCCAAAAAACTCTCTAACGATAGTAGTTTTATACTCGAACAACTATATGTGTGTAAGAACCTAAGCTATTTTTCAAGCTGTTTTTATAGTAGTATATTATAGGCGATTATTAAAATAAATAATTTTAAAAACCGAAGTCTTATACTTTATAGATACTGTACAATAATGTTTTCAGACACAATAGAAACAATACCACCTTCTGTCAAACACTCAACAACGGTGAGTAAATTGAAAACATAGTTTAATAATGAACAAAAAGAAAACAATATAAATTTATTTAATTTAGTCTAATATCGATGATCACTGTTGTTTATCATTAATATTTAATAATATAATATTTTCTCTAACCATTTGCGTAAAAAAAACTCCAATATTATTTAATGTACATATTAGTTTTTTTAAAAATGTAATAGCTCTTTAGTTCTAAAATTGCAAGAAGGTTAGATATAAATAAAAATAGTTTTTGTGTTACATTTTCCAACACGACTAGGTTATTTATTGAAAAAAAAATTATCTGATTATTATTTAAGTTATAACGTCTAAATTTGGACGTAACAATCATAATATAATATTTTGAGTGTTATTTCACAACAATTATACAATAAAAAAAGATTATTTTGCAACTCAGGAAATCCCGGATATAATTTGTGATCAAATAAGATGCTGAAATCGGGCCACCATAATTAATGTAATGGTGGCTCTGACAATACAAAACACACATACGTTCTCAATCAATTAGTCTATAATCTAATCAATTTTTAATTTTGCAATATAACAGATACAACGAGTAAATATAAAATAATAAATTTGATCTAACATAAATTCAAACGGTGTAAGAAAAAAACACTATTATAAAATGACAGTATTATTATTTGTTACTAAATAGTAAAAACTTTTATTGATTATAATTTTATCAGATTATATATCATCATTAATCCTTAGTCTAAATCCTTATCTGCTACTGAAATTTGATCAGATATATTTGGTCTAAACCTATAATATTCATGAAATAGAACTTAATCTGTTTTTGATTAATCTAATACTGTAATTTATTGTTTTTCAGATTGTATTTTTCCACGGCCTAGGAGAATCAGGGTAACTAAGATGTTTTAAAACGTTGTTATTACTAATTTACTTATAGTGATTACATATTATGACTTTGTTTTGACTTAATAAAAAATAAAAATAAATACATACAATTTAAAAAAATATATATTTGTGTTATATATTTATCTCGATGGTGTTTAATACAAATACTGCATATAAAAAATTGGAAATACAAGTTTAAATATATCATTTACAATTTGTCGCACTAAAGGTACACTCTTAAGGGAGGGGAGAGCCAGATTCAAGCAGCTGCAACACCACTATTTTTCACTTTTTTATATAAATTTGTTTTATTAAATACTTTTGATTGACCACTCAATAATGTAATTTATTTCATTTTAGTTTATTTTATCATTTCTTTAAAAACAATCTTGAAAAAACGGCTGTTTAGACGACACACCCCTTAATCAGTTTCTTGTGTAGTCTACAATGCTTCTTGACTCATTTAGTATAAGGAAAAAAATCATACCTTAATTTCACCATTATATCATATACATTTTGTATAAATCAATGTCATTGGAAACGTATAACTAATTTACATTTTTATTTTTCAAACAGGAAAATGTGGACAAGTACTTTAGCAAAATTGCGCAAACCACATACAAAAATTGTGTGCCCTTCAGCGTAAGTATAAAACACACAGCCCTATGACGTATCATTTATTATACAATATTATAAATTTTACAATCTTTTTATTTTATTTTTTATTCATATTTTAATCGTTCTATATTTTTTAAAAGTTTTTATGAGTGTTTTTTTTTACCAAAGGGTGTGTAATATATTATATTTGAATCAAATTATTCAAATGCAATTATTAGTGATTTATTTGAAGAAATTGTTATTCCAATAATCAGTTATTTTTAAAGTTACTTACATTTTACAACAAAATAAATATAAATCTATACATCTTTTCTTTAAGGGATAAAATCTCTATGACAATGTACAAGGGATTTGCGACAAAATCATGGTTTGATATGACTGCCCTAAAAGAGATGGGTGAAAACGAATCAAGCTTCCTTCAAGCCGTAGACTTAGTACACGTTCTGTTGGATAAAGAGTTATCTAGTTCATGTATTTCATCCAAGAAGGTCTTAATTGGAGGCTTTTCACAAGGCGGAGCTTTGGCTGTATATGCGGCACTCACTTACCACAAACCCTTAGCAGGAATCCTGATGTTGTCTTCCTGGATACCACTTCATATCAAATTCCCCAACGTATGCCTGTTTTTTTTTTTTTATAATTTATTTAACCTCTTTGTCTTGTTATAATTATTCTGGATACATCATATTGTACAGTAAAAATATTTTTTTTTGTTCAGGCAGCAACGAACAATACAGATATACCGATTTTACAGTGTCATGGAACTAATGATTCAGTTTTAGATTTTCAGTATGGAAGGAGAACATCGGAAGTAATGAAATCGTTTGTTACCAAACACGAATTTATCATTTATCAAGGTCTAAATCATTGCACAAATAAAGAGGTAAAACTAAAAACCCACAACAAATTTAACTAAATTAACAGGCACGATCAGCTGTATAGTACTACAAAAAATCGTCCATAGACTTGGATATAGAAGTATTAGAGTGGTAATATTTTATCGTTGTAACATTTTCCATGACTGGGGCAAGTGTGTGTAGGAAACTTTCGTAATCTAGATATCTTACATGTTTATTTTGCCGTGACATAAACGATTTTTAATAACACCACAATTGGTATTTACAAGGCATTATTTCATTAAATTGTAGTTTCATAAACATGTACAATGTACATTAAAACTATTCCCGTTTAAATGTGGTACATGCGTGGCGTGAAACGGCTTTGAATGAGTTCTACAATAGTTATTTTGTTTTTGCAGGAGTTGGAAGACATAAAAACATTCATTAACAAAGTTTTGCCGTGATGTGCTTGAATTCGAATGTCGTTTTCTTCTCACAAGGAATTTGGTTAGCGGTATAAATGCACCGTCGAATTAAACTAATTAAAACGGTAATTGGAAATGTTTTAGTAGCTAACAGGAATACATACATACAACTACAACTAATGTCTATATAGGTCGTAAGATACACATATATGATGACATTGTATTTAGTTTTTAAGGACTTTCTTTTACATTTTATTTGTTTTTATCACTAGAATTTTAGATTTGTATTACATAAGTTTTTTAATTATTGTATTATTATAATAGTATTATTATTTTACCAATTTAATATGTTTATTTTTATTAAGTTTTTCGTTTAAAAATACTCTTTATAAGTTATAATGTTCACCTGGGGAGAATCTCTAAGAAAACCCTTAAAAATGATATTAGTCGTAGTTCGAGAATTAATAGTTATAATTGCGCATATAATTAATTTATACAAAAACTACTAAGCTAATAAAGTCGTTAAAACTATATTTATGAATTATAATAATACGCGAAGAGTTAAAAATATGAAAAAAGTTTATTATTTTTTTTAAATTGTATAATTTAATTATAAGATACTAATTAGAAGTTGGTATTAAAATATAGGCGGTATATGAATATACAAGGCTATAACCTTGTATGAAAATGCACACTCTTCATTAAGCATTGTGGCATTCCTTTATAGTGTAGGTTATTAAAAATATAAAATCAAATAAATGGCATATTTCAAAACAATCAAGTAAACTGAGTAATTAGTGTACGCCCTTGATAAGTGGAGACTTGTGCGGCAAGTAAAATTGATAGCATTACTCAACCTTTTCTATGAATTTGTTTTTAGCAGAAACCTCTTATCAGTCTTGTTATTTTAGCTTATTTTCTATTTCTTAACAGCTATTCAGAAGATCGTTGAATTCCTCATACCACCATCCCATCTCCAATCCCGACATCACAATATCCATCCCTTGACGTCATCACGTAGTGACACCATGTGTCTGAGCACAAGACTCGACGACTATTGGAAATAATTGGTAACAAAGCGTCGGCAACCCATATTGAATATCTATACTGTCTAGATAGTAAAGGCAAACGTTTCAGCACCGCATTGAAGCTATAAAAATAGACATAAGGCTGGATAGCGGGATTTACTTTCTTATGAATGTGCTAGCTTATCGATCGGAGAATAAGAATTCGTCTGTACCCCTATTTTTGGCCAAAACAGTACTTTCCGCTAAATATATTGCTGCTTCGATAAACAGCAAATATCGTGCGACTGGCATTTCGGGTTCGTTTAATCTCGGACTAATAACACAAAGGATCGGCGTGTGTAAATCAATTGCGTTCTGCCAACCGAAAAATATCACAGTTACCCTAGTTAGTGTACAATCGTTTTATAGCCATGAGCTCAAATTTCTGTACCCTTGCAAACGTTATTATCTATTTTGATAACATTGTATTACACGATGAGTAACAATATAATTATGTAGTATATTTAAAATAATTACAAAAATATTATACTTTGTTGTGTGGTTGATCGGCCTGATTTTGTTTCAAAAATGTGTAACTACTTAAAAAAAAAGACATCTGTTTGTTTCTTATTAATTCTATGTAGACTATATTATGTTAATAATTCGTATAAACAAAGTTAACAATAGTGGCCAGTCAACAGAAAAAAAACATACATTTATGCATCTTAATATCTATTGGTATTAATTTGGATAATTAATTATTTTATTGTAATTTAGATAAATTGTTACATTTTCAAATAATGCTTGCATTACTACTTCATAGATGTATTAACATTTTCTATCTTTTATCTTGTAATTAAATAAATGATTATTAACTTATGTGAATTATTTTAGTATACTTGGAACATTTCTACCAAAAGCTATTAGCAAAAGTATTCCATACATTTCTGAAAGTGCTTATTGGTGTTTTTACTTATTGTACTGTAAATCTAATCCAATACATAGTGTTTTCTTTTAATTCCTTATAAAGAATAGTTGGATAAAATCACGGTCTGATTACAATTTTGTAATATTGTATTAGACTTAAGTGTAATACCTATCGATCTGTGGTTAAACTAAAAACTGTCTTACAGTTTGATTATAAGCCAAATTAGTTATTAATATATATTTTTTTGCCTTAAAAAACATTTATTTAATCTAAAAAATGACATAAAATGAATTAGCATGTCATATTATTAAACGGGTATCGCAATTGATTTATTTTTTTTTTTACTCTTAATTTTTAGTAATAAATATTTTTTAGTAATTTCTAGTAAGTATCCTCAAGCTTTTGATGACTAAATTTATTCTGTAATGCCTAATTAGCTGTTATACTTTTATTTATTGTTGACCATATAAATATAATGCGAAAATTGAAGTACACAATTCAAAACAGAAGTACACTACTTACAAACACAATGTGAAAAATGTTGCTAAACACAATAGGGTCGTCGCAAAAATTTAACCTTCCAATTTGAGGGCAACGAAAAAAAATAATAACCTTGCTATTTAGATGGCTTTACTCTACCTATATCGTGGGAGTCAATGCAAATCTCTTTGCATTGACTCTAAATTAGTATTGTATTGTATAACATAATAGTATTGTGTCGACAATGGAAAGTTACCTTAACACCTTATTACATAATATAATCCCAAAACGTTTTATCAACATTTATTAAATAACATTTAAAAAAAACTGAAACGGTTAGGTTTACAACCATTTGTTGCCAACTAACATTTATGCTACAAATTCGATCCCAACGTCATAATACCTATTTAGAAAAGATTTTATAATAATAAGTTTTATTGATTTTAACAACTTTTTCACTATTTTACATTATGACGGTTTTCTTAGAAAATAAGTCTACTTGAACGTTTAAACCTTTAGAATAGGTATTATCTACTGCAGCAACACATTGTTTGTTTTTCATACTGACAATTAATTAACTGCCATCCTCGCACTATAATTTTATTTTACCGACATAATAATTACAATTTTTGTTATATCTATAGCTGTTATTTTTTAATAACATCTATTTGTTTACCCTAATATCAATCTAGTGTCATTATTACATCCTCTTCCGAGAAGGTTTCTTAATGTTTTGTTTTCCAATCAGTTCAATACACTAACAGGGTAATTAAACAGGGTGATTCATCAATCAGAAAGACATTCGTTTTGTCTTCCGATTCAACGTTTGAGACACTTGATACCGGTATTTTCTTTATTAGCGTTATCAAATTAGGCTACAAGTCGATTTTTAGAGAAATAAAAAATCGACTTCAAAAGTTGGATAAAAGTAAAAATCTAAAAAATTGATTAGTATTTTTTTTTTGTGGAATTTAATTCTGCTAGTTTTGGTGTTAGTACCACTGTTTTAGCATTAAAACTACCGCAGCTATCATTTAAAACGCGGTTTTAATGACACGCTGTAAAAATAAGTTATGAGTCCTTAAAGGATTAAAATAAATGCAATTTTGTAGTTTTTCTATTTGACGACACTTTAGTTTATGTTTTTTTACAGTATTCAAATTTTTATCTTTTTTATTGTTTTCCACAACTCAATCAACTTTCAGATACTTAGTGGTGACGTATTACATTCAATTAACTTTTTAAACTAAGAATAATTTTGTTCGAAAATTTTGATTCAACGACCAGTTATGAAGAATTACTTTTAAAGTTTTTAAATTAAAGACGGGTGGTGGAGTGCGATAGAGTAATAAGTGCAGACTTCAGGTAAACATAATACTGCACTTCGCCTTTCGTCCCATCCTAAATATTAAACATTAATCGACTTTATAAATAATTATGCAAAACTGGATATCGACCAGTCGTCAAGCAAAGCCGATTCTTACTTTAAACAAATTAATTAAATTTCTACGTTACCATTTTGAGTTTCAAAAGTTTTTGTAATGCTCTGAGTAATTCAAAAAAGGTAAATATTTAGTAATTTTATAATATTGTGAGATAACGAAAACAAACATAAAAACTAAGATATATTTTATATATTTTTTAAGAAAAAAATTAGTGTCTTATCCTGATACTAATAGCGTCAACGAATGATATAGAATATATGAATTTCTATAACTATCGCAGTCAACAATCGACTTTATGGTAATTATGTATATTTTGGATTATAGTAAAATATTAACTCCAATATCTATGCTATGAATATAATAATGTAAATTATTTTGTTGATTCGAATAATTATATTGCCAGACTTTCCCAGAAATTCGAAACGCCCCATAGTCTTTTGATGTGTCTGATTTAAGGCGAAATCGTTGATTAAATAGAAATTGTTTAATTAGTTTACTAAATAGAAAACTGATTAAATATCATATATTTTTTTTATCTGCGTTTTCTGAGGGGAAATATATTGGCCATAATACAACGAATCGCTCAAACGCGAATTACAATATAATATCATATTCGTACAAAACCGTCGAACATAAAGCATTGTGTCAGGAAATCCACACGAGTTTTAATGTATGTATGTCATCGCTGGTGTACAACGATGGCGAATACAACAAATAATAATAATAAATAACGACAAGTGTAATTACAATGTTCGAGCTGATCGTACCATATTATAATTACCGTTTTAATTCATTTTTTTTTTTTTCGAACAAACCCGTTCGGACGAATACAACCGAGTGTAATAATAATATAATATTCAAACGATTGTGACAACGTCCGTCATGGCGCATCAGCATTCATTGGCGATTTTATAACACTAAAGTCATTTCGGGACGTCATATAACATTTTATTGGCCTCCCCTACATCTCCTGTCCCCTCCCCTGCCCTGCCCGTCAACGAATTGTAATAACGGCGTGCACACTAGTAGTATACAGCTTGGCGCCCACACACAGGCATTACACATCGTTTTATTATTTGCATATATTATTATTATTACAATACATATATATATACGTATTTGCATATAGGCTGACTGGAAGAGGAGGGGGTAGGGTACCTAACTGTGCATAACTGGATAAGGACAACGAAGACGACCATAAAACTTATACCGCGCACGGTCTCACTGTCCCTCGGGTCGACGATACAATCCTTTGTCGCAGCACCTCTACAGCGTAACAACTCAAAAATGTTTTTCTCCAAAATCATATGTATAAAATATAATATATACATATATTGTATTAGTGTTGTGTACTTTGAGAACCGCCGCGACGGTCATGCACCTTCTCCAGAGCCGCCTTAGGCTATGCGCAGGGACCCTTGGGCACGCAAAAAGTTTTGGACTGCTCTTGGAGACCAAACCAAAACAAAACGTATAAAGATGTAAATCTAAAGAAGCAATAGCAAAAACAACTCCGCCGGATTTTGGACGCACACAACGCATAACGGTCATGTGTTTCGGCCAGAGTTCGGTACACGGGGACACGGGATAGGCGTCCTAAGGGCAAGGGAAAGGGTGTGTGTTTTTGACTCTGGGCAGCCGCCACCGCCGAATTCCCAAGAGCAATAATCTACAACGGTACGATCGGCCGAAATTTATGTTATTGCCGCACGCGCAAAATTCCAAAAACGTTATAACCGGAATGGTGGGGGGGGGGGGGTTGGGGTTCGAGGTGAGGGTCTAGGTGCAATTTCACCGTGTCCGTGTGTATATACCTGTCGCGCTGATTTACGCGTAAACGTTTATTTGTAACTTTATTCGGTTTTTCGTTTTTTTTTTTTTTACTCCGTTGTTCGCAATTTTATTTATTAGTATTGGATTTCCGCCTATTGTCGAAAAAACTGTTTATTATCCGCACGGATCGTCTCTCGCTGGCAAATCGCACACGGGAAAGCCGTATCGCTTTTTATTTTTTGTTCCATCTAAATTGTACATATTGTGCATATAGGCCGGATACAAACGGGTTAGGTTTTTTCGTTTTTCGAATTTCTAACCAAATTGGCATTCATTAGATTCGACGCGAAGTTATCCGTTTTAGCTTAATATGCATTATAATATTATGGTAATAGCCAACACGCTGTTGCAGAATATCTCTTTTTATACTTACATCAATTTGCGGCCAATTGATGTGCACGGTAATGCACAATTGTATACTAAACTTTTTTTTTTTTACCAACATAAACGTATACAATGTAAATGCAAATATTGGACAATGGAGTGTACTCGAGGTTACCTTCGCACATGAAAGCAATAAAGCCGGCGGCAATGCGGTACACTATGAGTCTAAATCCAAATAGATGTAGGAATTATTTCTCTCTCTCTCACTTTGTCTCCTTGTAACATTATTGTAGATAAAACCTAGTCGTAAAAGCATAAAGCTTCACAAGACGGTGCACGGAACAAGTCAATCAGCCTTATTCAATCATCATCGTACTATTATTGTAAATATAAATAAATAAATATATATATATCGCAACAGCTGTTCAATTTTATTTCCATTTTCATT